TCTATGGCACAGATAACAACAACCCAACAGACGCAACTGCGAATACTGATATTGGTGCTGCGACAGCATTAGTGGACCATCCAAGACAAATAAGGGCAGTGCGGAGTGATAATGCAGAGAATATAACTAGCATCTCACTTGATCTCTCAAAACCACTTCCAGCTTCTATTAAGATTGGAGCTACAACGTACACCTTTTCAGCCATAGATACGACAGGAAATGTTCCAACTTGCGCATATACAATATCAATTCCGCCAGGTCAATAACAATTATTAATATTGTAGTTATTAGGCTATTATCATTATAAATGTTATATATTTCGTTTACAAGATTTGTGATAAATTAATTTAAATTTTTTTTTATATACGCTTTGAACGCTGCTACTGTTGTTTTTGCTTTCAGTTTGTATAGCCTACCTACTCGTACTTACATATTTATTGGTACACATATGCATATAATAAATTTTAGATGAATTTGTAAAATATAAAAAATTGAATAAAATTTAAAAGTTTATATATCACTTTAAATAAATAACATGAGGACTATTACATTTAGTTATCGATTATATTGTTTTACGATTTGATAAAATATATTACAAGCAAATAAGTCAAAAGTAATTGACTTCAAAGTGCACATGGTATATCAATTGGTTTATTATCAACGTAGTACATTGACCGATAAATAAGTATGCAAAATACAAAAATAATTTTAGTAATTGTTTTGTTTAACGATAAGTAATTTTGTTTGTATAGCAACTACAAAAGAACAGCAAACAAGGGGAATGACTGCTGGGTCAACTAAGTTGTCTACGGCAGGTATATCTACTAAAGGTTTTGCAAGAACTAAAGAACATGCAACAACAATACATGAAACTACAGTTGATGCAACATCTACAAATACTAAAGGAATTACAAGAACTGACCAACAGGCTACAATAATAAAAGAAATAACGGTAGATGACGTAACGACAGATACTCAGTTATTAACGTTGGTTGATGTAATAACTGACGGGTATACAGCTGGTTTGTCGACTGAAGGTTTTGCCACAACTGAACATCAAGCAACATCAAGACGTGAAACAACAGTAGATAACATAACAACTGATACTCAATTGTCAACATTAAATAACGTAACAACTGTAAGGGCTACAACTGTAGATATCTCCACTACTGAACACCAAACAAAAATACGTGAAACAACATTAGATGACATAACAATTGATGTTCAATTTTCAACGTTGGATGAAGTAACAACTTTAGGGTCTACAACTAGTATGTCTACTGAAGGTCTCGCCACAACTGAACAACGTACAACAACAATAGCTGAAAGTACAGCAGATGACATAACAACTGATGTTCAGTTATCAACGTTGATTGATGTAACTACTGTGTCATCTACAACTGGTATGTCTACTGAAGGTATCACTACAACTAAACAAGAAACTACAATAATACCTGAAACTACAGTAAATGACATAACAACTGATGTTCATTTATCAACGTTGATTGATGTAATTACTGTGCCATCTACAAAGAGTATATCTACTGAAGGTGTCACTACAACTGAAAAGCATGCAACAACAATACGTGGAACAACATTAGATGATGCAACAACTGATGCTCAATTATCAACGTTGGTTGACATTATAACTGTAAGGTCTATAACTACTGACGGTATCTCCACAGCTAAACAACAAGCAACAACGTTATTTAAAACAACATTAGATGACATAACAAGTGATGTTCAGTTATCAACGTTGGATGAAGTAACAACCGTAAGGGCTACAACTGGTATGTCTACTGAAGGTATCACCGCAACTGAACAAGAAACTACAATAATACATGAAACTACAGAAAATGACATAACAACTGATGTTCAGTTATCAACGTTGATTGATGTAATTACTGTGCCATCTACAACTGGTATATCTACTGAAGGTACCACTAGAACTAAAAACCATGCAACAACAATACGTGAAACAACATTAGATGAC